AGTCCATTACTTTGTTAAATTTAGAGTAAACTTGTCTTGAGAGAAGAAAATTGAGGAGCTGTAATATACTTATCATCAATTAGGGACCACAAAGAAAAATTTATTTATAGAGACTTTTGAAGGAGAGGGGTAAGACTTGTGGCAAGCTGGCAGACATATAGATAAACTTTACTGCTAAATGGGTTACAATACAAAGTGCTCAGTATTTGGATCAGCTATGGCTCAACTTAAACTTTGCTTTAGCTTCAAGTTTAATCCTTTGTGGTTTCCTTTCTCTATGTTTATTTTTCAAGTTATGTACACAGAAGAACACAAAAATGACAAGGAATGCTTTTGAATATTAAGAGGCTGGAATAAGCAAGAAACCAAAACTGAATTTTAAACAGTACAAAGTTAATTTGATCTTCCAATGTTATTCAATTTTAACCATTAATAGAATTTGCTATTTAAATTAGGGAAATAGTTTGTAAAATGTAAGACATTCTGCATCTTGAGCATATACTTATTCATCCATGTGAAATTAAAGGTTACTTGAAATAAATGTGAAAGATTTATAGGATTTTCAGACCCCTGATAACAATTACTAATGTGCTGATTTGTTGTACTTAAAGGTTATGATTTTAGCGGAAAAAGTGGAAGAAATTTCTGGACCTGGAATTTTGTTGCAAATGTCTGTTTAAATCAGTTTAAGTCAGTTAAAAACTCTCCTGTTTCAAGATTACATGATTACCACACCAGAACCTTTTGTATTCTATATTGTGCACCATGTTATGATTATGGTTTCAATAATAAATGGTGCTGACTCAAGAACTTTGCAAAATATTTCTACATACAAAAAAATAGATTGTGGTTATGTACTCCAAATAGCAGGTCACATCAGTCTTCTGTAAGGAAGTAGCAGAAATTGCTATGGTGGTTTTGGTGGATGGAGAGAAACATCCACCAAAACCACTTTATTCTATGTGTTAAGAGTTATGATAATCATTATGAACGTTGGTCGGTCAGCAATTGTGCACCATAAAAAATAATTAGCCAGAGCACTAACTGCTAATTAGTGGTATAAATCTTTTGTCTCCCTGAACATCTAATAGTGGCTATAGATAAAATTAAAAAAATATATTGTTGATGGTTTTGGTCAAAGTTTTGGTGGATGTTCCCTGATGACATCCACCAAAACTACGTAACATCTGGGCACCTTTTAAATACGTGAAATATCTGCATAAAATTGCGTAAAATGTTTTATGATACTACAATCGAACAATAAATTAATACTTACCATTTCTTGAGTAAAAAGTTTTGACGCAATTTCCCAAACAAATGATACACTTAGGTCATCGGGATAAGTCGGCATGTTGTCGTAGCTTCGTAATTTTTACTTAGTACAACAAGTCATGAGTTGTCCATCATTCCATCTCAGTCCCTCTCGACCAAGGTGGTTTTGGTGGATGGAATCTAATGCTGACCCATCTAAACATAGATGATGACCTAGACGGTCAGCATTAGATTCCATCCAGTAAATTGAAATGTAAATTCTAAACATAGATGATGACCTAGACGGTCAGCATTAGATTCCATGTTATCAGGGGTCTGAAAATCCTATAAATCTTTCACATTTATTTCAAGTAACCTTTAATTTCACATGGATGAATAAGTATATGCTCAAGATGCAGAATGTCTTACATTTTACAAACTATTTCCCTAATTTAAATAGCAAATTCTATTAATGGTTAAAATTGAATAACATTGGAAGATCAAATTAACTTTGTACTGTTTAAAATTCAGTTTTGGTTTCTTGCTTATTCCAGCCTCTTAATATTCAAAAGCATTCCTTGTCATTTTTGTGTTCTTCTGTGTACATAACTTGAAAAATAAACATAGAGAAAGGAAACCACAAAGGATTAAACTTGAAGCTAAAGCAAAGTTTAAGTTGAGCCATAGCTGATCCAAATACTGAGCACTTTGTATTGTAACCCATTTAGCAGTAAAGTTTATCTATATGTCTGCCAGCTTGCCACAAGTCTTACCCCTCTCCTTCAAAAGTCTCTATAAATAAATTTTTCTTTGTGGTCCCTAATTGATGATAAGTATATTACAGCTCCTCAATTTTCCTCTCTCAAGACAAGGTTACTCTAAATTTAACAAAGTAATGGACTTGATAAAACTCAAACTATAACTCAGCTGGCTGCTACTTGCAACCTTAATTTCTAGATATCAGTATACAATAATCAATATGTTATAAATAAGAACCCTAATGCTTAATTTTGCAGTGATCACCTTCCTCCTTTTCATTTGCAGACCAGACTGGAACCTATATACGTGTGTTTGCTTGTTTTGAGTGGGGATGGAAGAAAAGGAGTCATGCCACATATCTGATTTATTAAATCGCATTTGTTCTGTTTATACATGAGTAGAACTACCTTGTTCTCTGAAAAAAATAAAATTTCTCGCATTTTTATCTGTGCTTTGCAGTCAAACTTCCTTGTGTCTTCGACAAGAAATCTTATTTTCTTGAAAACAAAATCTTCGTTTCCAGCCTTCTGTAATAGGTAAATATAACAGTGTAAGATGAGTGACAGTGTATTTCTCAAGTTATTTTTTGGAATGTGACAAAACGGAAGTGTCATAGCGTGATAAGGAGCAAACATATGATTGCTTGATAGAATGCAAAAAATGCAGAATTGCATATATTTTCTCCTTTGTCAGCAGCATATGTTAGTGAAAAGTTCTTACAATTGTTAACTTCTAAACCATCTTCAATTTAGCCAAGATTGAACTGTTATCACGTTTGTCATAAAAGTATTCCGAGATCAATGTCATATGACCCATTCATGTATTTGACCTTTCAAATTAGCAAGCCATAGTTGACAGAAACACAAAGGTTGTGGATAAAAAGAAATTATTATATACAGTACTTCTTCTGTATCTTTTCGTTTCCTTTTCTCTCCAGCTGTTCAATCTATGCCGTGCTGGCAATTGAACACTTTCCTTCCCAAAATTAGGAAAGGCACACCAGTAAAAAACGAATTTTTGCTCCTTAAATATCTCATGCATCTTCCCCCAGTATTTTGTGACTTCTGTCCGAGGAAGGAGGTGTAAGCATTGAATTAACCCGAATGATTCCACGATTGTGGTATCATCCAAGTCATGCCAGAGGACTTGAACCAGACAAACTAGTGAGAATGCACAATAGCGATAGCAAAGCTTTGTAATGCTAAAGAGCTATATCAAATATATATAAATATATGTTCCCGAAACCTTTGACCGCTTTAAAGAAAGAAAACTTCGTCGTCAATCCTGTTTCAAATTCCGCAATAAGTTTAAGCGCCTCATCAACAGAATTTACGTATCCTAAATTACCTGCATGTCTACCATCAATGGTGCGCGACTTAAAATTCTCGCTATGCTGGTTCTGTTTGTTCCTCAAGAATCATGGGATTTACAGCTTCGGATGTTCGGCTACATCACTTGCGGATTTCCGAGAATCTTCGGTTATGTTTTGCAAGTCATTAAATATTCCATCTCAGTCCCTCTCGACCGAGGTGGTTTTGGTGGATGGAATCTAATGCTGACCGTTTAGATGCAGAGGGGCATTTTGCTGCGCATGCGGCAGTGAAGTTCTGTTTGTTGAGAGTAACCGCTGGCATGCGCCCGCGCCGCGCGTTCGTATTTGTTTCCCGCCAGTTTTCGAATAGATGCGGCAGTAGTGGAGCACGAAATACAATGGCTCGTCTATTTGTGTTCGTTGTCATTCTCGAGATTTTTTTTCTCAATGTTACTCGGCTGAAAGCGCGAAACAATCGAAAAATGGTTGCGTGGTGTGTGGGAGAAAGTCCCAGCCGCGTTACTTTCAAAAGGCGAAAAGTTATGAAAAAGAATTCAAGTGTTGTTTTGGGATAGTAGGGAGTCATCGATACAGAGGACGTTATTTGTGAAGGATGTAGGAGGGCTGTAGAAGAACACAGGCGAACTGGAAATTCGTTTCAGCATGTTAGTGCTATCTCATGTTATCACTGAACACTTGAAGTACCCACTTACGCTAAAATTAAAATTTAACCTAAGTTTTTTTTTGTTCAAAAGTTTGTTGACATGAATCGCAACCAACGGGGACGAATACCCAAACACAAAAGATCAATGTTGAGTAAAGAAAAGTCAGATAGCAGTAGTACTAAAGAGATGGTAGTTGTATCCAGGGAGAGTTTATTAGAAATGGAGGAAAAATTACGGATTTTATCAGCGAGTAAGTAACCTTTTTTCAATCATTTGTCTTGGAAATTCCAGATTTGGAAGCTGAAATTAGCAATATTAGACACTTAAAAATCTACTTTGTAAAAAAGGAACGCATCTTCAAATAAGTTTATAATGTGACAAATTTCATTTAAAATTGAATACTTTATTTGGACCAAACTACCCCTGAACCAAAACATATAGGAATTGCACCATTTGTGGAGGAATAGTTGCGAAGGCATCCTCAGCTTCTGAATGGCATGTCTGAAAGGATAAGAATATGCAAATTAAAACCAGTCAAACTTTTAGGCTTCCTGTTGAAATGTAAATTACTGAATAAAGATTGCTGGCCAATTCCAACACTAACCCCCACTGGTTAATGTGTTGTGTTGGTAACTTCAATCTTCGACCTTTTTAAATAACAAGCATTTTGTAACAACCTGATGGTCTGACAAGACTCTTATTACAGGCAATACAAACAAACTTGTACAACTGATAGTATCCTTGATACTGAAAGTCAAACTTATTTCCATAGCTTGTATCCCCCAGGAACAAGACTGAACAAAACTAGATGACTAAATCAAAATAATGAGAAGAGTTTTGTTAACCTCGCTATGATATCATACATTTTGGCAGAAGTAGTAATGAAACTTGTTTTTGAGAACTACCATGAGGCTTTCACACAATGAGCCCCTAATTATTATGACTTGCGACAATATGAAATTGAGATTTCAGTTGAATGCAAATTTTATTTCCCACCCAATGCAGGATGCGATATGACAGAGGAAATAGCATTGGTCAAGAAAAAGATTTATGATGACATAGTAGTTAACAAGGCAGAAACAGTGTATGATCCAGACAGTTTTAGAGAGTTTTGCATATCAGCGGGTGCAACAAAGTTATTCGACACTATTCTTGATTCAGTCACTGGTTCTCGGCATTCCACAGACCACATACATCTAAACAAAAAAAGGGTTGTTTCATTCATTTACAATTTGTGCTACTGCCTCAGCCAAACATGCAATCCTCTTCAAATGGATCATGCTCTTTATCTCAAGAGTAATCTCATAAATCAAGAGGGCATTGAAACAGAACATATCATGGGGCATGCATGTTCCAGAAGAACTTTAAACAATGTTATGCACAAAATGTCACAGTCTCATTTCAAATCTTTTGAAGATTTTATAACCACAGCTACAGATCGCAAATGGCTAATAGTGCTAATAATTGATGATTTCACAGCTATTCACACAAAAAGAAGACCACAAGAGGAAAAATTGTCAGAGGCAAAGACAATGTGTACCATAGTTGTTAAAGCTTTAAAAGATATTCCAGCTGTACCTGTAACGCATGCCCTTTGTACTCATGACCAAAATGGTATAGATATTGAAGCATGCATACAACTAATTACTGCTGCATCATCCATGCACAACATCAGTGAGAGTTATGTTTCTGTGATGCCTGACTGGCTCACCAACGCATTTTTTAATCCTGAATTTGAGAGACATAGAATCCACATTCATCAATACTGTGACAGTGACAATGTGCGAACAATGCGCAAAATGGATGATTTGCACCTATTAGATTTTGTAGAACTGAGACTGAAGTCAAAGAGGGACTTTGATACTGCCTATGATGTAGCAATGCACACTGGCTTGGCTGCTTATTTAAAGAAATTTATTTTTTTCAGCCAGGAGATTGGCCATGCCAATTTTATTGTAGACAAATCATATACGAATCACTTAAGAAATTTGTCAGCTCTCATCCAGGATTTTCAGATGCTCCTCTGCAACAGGACAATATTTTACCTGATCATTCCTCATATTCTTTTCCAATGACATCTGGTACTACTGACAATCTCTTGAACAGCAGCTTGCCACAAGCAACATCACAGTCATCCATTCTGTCATTAGTACCAACTATTGGGCCACTTCACATTTCCCTAAACAGCAGAGAACACATTGTTCACTCCTATCATCCATTTTTCAAAACAGTTTATGAAACAATTTTCCCAAGAAGCAAATTGGCAGATAATCCCAAACCCTGGAGGATTAGTCTGATTCTTGAGATTGTTTATGGTGGTTGGACACTTATATGCCGCACTGTGATGTCAAAGTTCTCCCGCTTCAAGGATGCAGAGTATGGGACCCTATTCACTTTACTAGACAGCTATATACCTTTGGTGTTGTCGATATATAGAATTTCTTTCAAACTTAACAATTTCTCTGAGTATTTTCGAGCAATGATCAGGATTTGGATCATGTTTACTTGCCTTCAACGCAGACACTATAACAAAGCACCACTTATTTGGATCAACATGTGCTCTCACTGGGGAAAACATGCTCCACAACTGTATAATCTAATAAGGAATTACATTGCCATTTTTGATGAATATCCAGTGGAAAACACTCATAGCATACTCCGTTCACAGACAAAAGGTTCTGATTCTGCGGATGAACTTAGAAAGAAAGCAAAGTCCATTTTCCAGTCAAAGGGTAAACAATCACACTACAGGTCATTTTTCACCACACCTAAGCAGTTTTCTTTCTCACACAACCAACTTCGCTTACTAAAAGTGAGATGTGCTCAAGCACTGTCCTCCATGTTTATAAAAATCTCTCAGAGTCCAGGGCAGAGTCAGTTCTCCTCAAACAACAGCTGCAACACAAGTGTTCCAACTCATGTCACACTGCCAACAATGTCCCCCAACAAAAATATGAAGATGACTGTTTTACCTTTAGGGTATCACTGTGATATCAAGCCGGATCAAACAAAAAAATGTGATTTACCTCTGTGTAACATTTCCAGCCAAGATGAGGATTGGACCCTCTTGCATGGTTGTTTCCACTCATTCCATGATGTTTGCCTTAATGGATCAACTTCATGTCCACTGTGTAAGGAGTTTCTAAAAAAAAAGTAAAAGAGCTTGGTGAGACAGTTAAAAAAGCCATTCTACATCCTGCATCTAACATGCATGAAACTGAATCCCAAACTAATCACAGTAATGAAACATCAGCAGTGCCAACATATTTATTAACTGAAATCCCTGGGGTAGAAGAAGTTGAGAGGGAAGAGTTTGATAGGGTTGTCAAACAGTTAAACGATGAAATTTCCAACCTAAATCCAGCAACTCAACCACTCACATCTTCCAACCGGCAGCCAGAGTCAACTTACAACCAAACCACACCTTCACCCAACAAGGCACCTCCCCACTGTAGACAATGTCACTATCCTGTTCGTGGACACAAGAGGCTTAACAATGCACAGGTCAAATGTTATTTCTATGAAAATGGTACCTGCACAGTTAGTGATGACATCAGTAGCTCAAATTGCCCTTGTTCATGGCACACAGCAAACCAGCATGAGAGTAATCAGAATACTTGTAACAACCAGTCAGCTTCATTACCAACACCAGATTCTCAGATCACTCTTCGCATAAATGTCACTATTGCACAACATCTTGATGTAACTGAGTGGCTCCTGCCCTCATACATTTGCCAGTCCTCCATTGGTGGAAGACCTAATGGTAGTAATGCCTGCACTGTGATTGCAGAACTTGCTGCACTTGATTTTCTGGAGGGAACCCTTCAAATTCCCACGCAGTTACAAGACCTCAACATTACTATACCTATGTATACTAATGTCATGATAAAAGGAAATCAGTTATATGACTCTTTCCACCTGCCAATTCAGCAACCAAATTTGGAAGTCAGACAAGTCCTTCAGCATGGAAAAAATGATAAACATTTGAAGAAACTTGAAATCACTTCAGACCTGGGTTTCTTTACTGTGAGAGACCTTGAAGACCACCTCACACAACACCATCATATGCATCCATCATTTGCAGCTGTATTGATTGTGCCACCAGACAAGTCAATGGTACTTTGTTTCAATCAGACAAGTATTTGTCTTTTTGAAAGTCACACTCATGGTCTCCAGGGGGGCATTATTGCCACCAGTTCCTCTGGAAATGTCAGCCACTTTGTCAAATATCTAGAAAGGATGGTTATGCGAGACTGGAAGAATGGATTACATGGCTCAAACATAGCAGTTTTAAAGCTGAAATATATTTTGAAAAAGGTTTAATTAGACATTAGAAACAGAACAAGCAGGATTATGATAATTGAGTACTTGGCCATTTGTTGTAACACAGCAAGTTGGATTAAGTTAGTCTGTAAGCATCGTCTAAAACTTTGACTTAAAACTAATTTCGCAAGGCAGAAGCATTTTTGTGAAATAAGCATGACAGAATAAAGTCATTCGTATCGTAAAACGAACATAGAGAAAGCGTCACCTGTTTAAACTCGTGAGGAAGAGTCTACGCATTTTTTAGGGGTAATTGAACTAGTTTGACCGAAAGCCAAATAAATAAAAAATTAACTGACAGTGGTGAGGGCTTTGGGAGCGAGTGATAAAAATAAGTTCTATCGAAGTTTTTCCTCCATTTAGCACCTGAAGCCCAAAAAGGCAATTGAAAAAAATTCCCACTAAAACTCAGGAAAAAATAAGCTTAAGCCCGAGTTGATGAAAACCAAACTATAACCGGTGCTAAGACACGTGCCTACCTACCATGTTCAACAGACTTGGAGAGCAAAAGGGCCAAAGACAGTTGTGAGCCATGACTTGGAAAATCCACCTCAACCTCCCAAAATCGAATTCGCCGAAGGTTGTTGTAAGAGCAACTCAATCCTGAAGCTGGAACATTTTTTAGAGCCTTGTGTCCAATGTGACTACAAAGAGAAAGAAAAGATGATGTTATCTGAAGTGATTTGACGCTTGGGGGCCACCTCGAACTTAACGCAATTTTATTTTAAAGTTGAAGTAAATTAAGATCACGTTCTAGATTAACTTCTTTCATCGGATCAAATATCTTACGATCGTCTTCACATACAACTTTGTGATTTTTACAAGTAAAACATCAACATCTTAAGACTAACCTTCAAGGTTTCCCGTCTCATCTGCACATCTTGATTTCCAGTAAATCAAATCTCAAACTTCAAGTTTTCGGGCTTTTTTCGTGTTTTGTTCGTACTTTGATCATTAAAATATCCTCATCAGAGGGGCCAGCAAACACCACGAGTATCCACAGAGTTAGAAATATTGGTATACTTGTCATTTTCTTTCATCCCTCTCCAAAAAGTATTATAAAAAAGTGTCGATCGCCCAGTTGAAAACCCGCAGAAGCGTGCTGAACGTATCACAATGGCGCCGAACGCGCCGGACAAAATTCTACTGGCGCATGCGCAGCAAAATGCCCCTCTGCTTGATTAGCCGCAATTAAATTGAGATGGCGGCCGTCGCTATAGAGAGCCGTCTGCAATTACAACATCTGTTCAAAGACATATCTCCGATGTTTGACCGCACAGAGTCGGAAAATGTTGTGCAATCTTTGAAAAATAATTATGGAGGCAAATTTAATTCGCTAAGAAGTCAAGATTTATTGCAATGTTTACAACTTCTTGCGAAGCATGGCTATGTGTCTGGAGGCAAAGTGAAACTAATCGAAGACTACGTTGCTCCGAAATCGAGCAAAGAAGAACTGATCAGAGAAGCTATAAGAAAGTTCAAGGCCTCTCGTCCAGCTGTTAAAGAGGAGGAATTTCAAGGGCGGGACGATGACATTAAGGAGATCACCGAAAAACTTGAGTCAAAAGAGGTCCCAGTTTTAAACTTATTTGGGTCTTCCGGTGTTGGAAAGACAAGACTCGCCAACGAAGTTTGCTCACAGTGGCGAGGAAATTATCGAGTCTTTGATCTTAGAGAAGTTAAGAGTATAAAAGCGATGTATTACCACATCCTTAGTTCCCTTGACCTTGTTGTTCCAGCCGGTTTCGTGAACCTGAACTCTGTTGTAAAAAAAGTTCGCGATAAGATCAAAGATTTGAAAAGTGGGGGGCATTCCGTTCTGTTCTTGCTCGATAATGTGGACCGGTTTGCCACAGGACAAGAAATGGATAGGAAGAGCCTAAAAAAGACTTTGTACAGTTCCTCGAACAACTTTTCGAACTTGATGGCAAAGGAGAAAGATGTGCATTAAAGCTGCTGCTCACATCGAGGATTGAGTTCACAAATGCCAAACTGGTGGATAATTTTAAAGTGAAGTCTCTCAAAACGTCATCTTCAGAGAAAATTCTTTTTCCTGCGGGATCGACTGGTGTTCAAGTCCACCAGAAAGATAATCTAATCGGCATCTCCAAAGGATTCCCAATTGTTCTCAAAGGAATGGGTGCTATTTTGCGCCAGGAAAGACAATCTGCCGATGATCTTATTGCTGAAGTTGCTGCTACTCCGGAGAAATCAAAAGTGCACGAGGATGCTGAAGAAATGTCAGTTAGTTTTGAAGAAGAAGGAGTTGATGCAGGTCAGATATCTGTAATTAGAGAAATGTTTGCTACACTTCCAAGTGACCGTTTAAAAGTGACTGCAGTAGTAATTTCCTTGTTTCATGGGCCATTCTCAGTGGCAACAGCTTCCGAAGTTCTCGGTATTGACCAATCAGAGGCTCTTGCACAGCTAGAGGGTCTTGTGGCCAGTGCAATAATTTCTGTAGTCAATGAAGAAGCAAAAGAGAGGAAATATGACATTCATCCACTCTTACAAAAGTATGCTGACAGTTTCACGAGTGATGAACACTTTTCCGCAGCCTACCCTGGTGAAAAACTTCACAGGATCTTTGAGGATCTTCAAGGATTGACAAAGACCTGCCAAAGATCCTTAAGGACAAGGATCTTTAAAAGATCTTTAAAGGATCTGTAAAAGATCCTCAAAGATCTTTGTAAGCAAAAACGTTTGTTAAGATCCTCAAGGATTTGATAAAGATCCTCAAAGGATATTACAAAGATCCTCATAAGGATCCTCATAAAGTTCTTTTCAAGGATCCTTCAAGATCCTCAAGGATTTAGCAAGGATCTTTCAAAGACCCTCAAAAGATCCTTTCAAGGATCCTTTCAAGATCTTTGTAAGGATCCTTAAGGATTTAATCAGGATCTTGCAAGGATCCTAGTCAAGATCTTTGCAGGATCTTTTTGAGGATCTTTCAAGATCCTCAAGGATTTAATGAGGATCTTTTAAAGACCTTCCAAAGATCCTTTCAAGGATCCTATTAAGATCTTTGCAAGGATCCTTAAGGATTTGATCAGGATCTTACAAGGATCCTACTCAAGATCTTTGCAAGATTTTTTCAAGGATCCTTCAAGATCCTCAAGGATTTAATGAGGATCTTTTAAAGACCTACAAAAGATCCTTTCAAGGATCCTGTAAAGATCTTTGCCAGGATCCTTAGGAATTTGATCAGGATCTTACAAGGATCCTTAAATCAAGATCTCTGCAGGATCTTTTCAAGGATCCTTCAGGATCCTCAAGGATTTAATGAGGATCTTTTAAAGACCTTCAAAAGAACCTTTTAGGGATCCTGCTAAGATCTTTGCTAAGATCCTTAAGAATTTAATCAGGAGTTACAAGGATCCTAGTCAAGATCTTTGCATGATCTGTTCTACAATCCTTCAAGATCCTCAAGGAATTGAAAAGGATCTTCCAAATATCTTTAAAAGATTCATTTCATGATTTTGTACAGCTCTTTGTAAGGATCCTTTTTGAATTTGATGTGGATCTCAAAGGCAACTTTGTCAAGATCTCTACCACATCTCTGCATTATGAATTAGGTTCCTTTGAAATCCTCAAGTAATTTCAAACATAACAAAATTGTAAATTGAGGGCTCACTGTTTTATAATTTAAACACAACAAGGAATTTTCGCAGAAAATTATTGTGCAAAGAGTGTAATGAAGGTTACCGCATAGCAACGCCATGCTCGAGGCTTTCGGGAAACTTTGTGACTACTTACATGACAACAAATAGGGTTTTGCATTATGGGATAGGAATTTATACGCGCCGAGATTTTTAACGGTCGCATAAAAACATAAGAAGCTCGTTGTTACGGCAAATATCATCGACAATGGTCAGAACTAAAGGGAAAATGTACACAGAAATAAAAGTAAAGGAAAGGCGTTTTCTGGAGTTCAGAAACAAGCGAAAAGAGAGACAGAAACAACCGAAATCGTCAATCAAACTCCAAGCAGGTCTCGCGATTGCTCTGACTCTGAGGCTGAATGAAAAGAACTCATTGGTACTTCTGGAAAGAAAATGAAGATGCCATCCTCGCCTAATGATTCTTGCTCTGAGCTCTTGGAGAGTGAGGATGCAAATGATGTGTTACAGGGACAAGAATACAGGCTTATCGATCTAGAGAGATTCTCCTCGACGCTCACTGAAGGACATGTTTCTGAAGAAGGTGTGAATTTACTTGGTTCTGTGTAACCAACTTAAAAAGCTCTTTTAGAGGTTGTCATATGAATTCCCGAAAACACTTATTTTGTAGCTCAGGATGTATTAGTTCAATTAATCTGAAGTTTTTAGGGCTGTATCCTCTTACTGAGTTGAGTTGGATAAGCTGACAGTTTCTCTATAAGCTGAATTTTAAGTAAGATATTGTGGAATAACTCACCTAATAATCTCGGTGAACTTTGAACGGGCACTGTGCCCATAATATAAACGACTCCAAAAGTTCCTCAGCTCATCCAAAAGAAAGACCCTAGTACTTTGTTTTGACACTAAAAACACTTGATTTCATGCAATCTTTGTGCAGTTATCTTTTCTCAAGTATACCTAGGTTTTTCACACCATGTGGTGGACAAATTGATCTGATGTCAAATAACAACTTAGTTTAGGGCAACATATTAGTTATATTCAGTATGTGTGATTCCTAAGCTTTCCTTTGGTATATAGGTTAATATGGTTCAGAAATATAGTCATTGAAGTACTCTTGTTTGCCTTTTTTTCATGTTTACCCCCTCTGTAAGAGTAGTCTGAGTCTGGTCATAGTCTAGTCCTAGACAAGTTTAACACATATATTTTGGTCTTCTTATCTTTGAGCTGGACTGTTGCCAGATTTTTTGGAAAATGAAAATCTTAGTACTAACCTAAAGTCTGAACAGAAATAGTGTAGAAGTAGTCCTACTAGAAGAGGATGGGTAATTCTTGTTTAGCAATAAAAAAAGTTTTATCTTCATTTTTTTATGTTTGGTTCAATTTTTCTTTTTAACTTAGTATGAGGATTTAAGTATGCTTATTTTCTTGTCAAAATTTCGAAGGTTCTATAACATTCTTGCTAAGATCTTCAACGATCTTCCATTTCCTTGCCAGGATCTTCAAGGTTCACTGACATTCTTGTCAAGATCTTTAAGGATCTTCAAATCTCTTGCAAAGATCTTTAATTTGGCTGTCAAAATCTTCAAGGATCTTTCTTTTTTTTGCCAAGATCTTCAAAGATCTTTCAGTTTATTGCCAAGATCTTTAAGGGTCTTTTATTTTCTTTCCAAGATCTTTAAGGATCTTCAAAATTTTCAAAAAGATCCTTGAAGATCTTGGCAAGAAAATGAGAGATCCTCAAAGATCTTAACAAGAATTTGGAAGATCCTCAAAGAATTTTCAAAGATCTTTAAAGGATCTTCAAAGTTCATGTAAAGATCTTTGAAGATCCAGACAAGATCTTCAAGGATCTTGACAGGAAAATGAAAGATCCTTAAAGATCTTGGCAAGAAAGTCAAAGATCCTCAAAGATCTTGGCAAGAAAATCAAAGATCCTTGAAGATCTTGGCAAGAAAATCAAAGATCCTTGAAGATCTTGGCAAGAAAATCAAAGATCCTTGAAGATCTTGGCAAGAAAATCAAAGATCCTTGAAGATCTTGGCAAGAAAATGAAGGATCCTTGAAGATCTTAACAAGAATTTTGAAGATCCTCATGAAGATCCTCAAGAGGATCCTCAAAGGTCCTCATGAAGATCTTGTAAGATCCTTAAAGATCCTTGAAAGATTTTCACCAGGGTACATGAAAGCAAAGGGACGCTATTACGAACTCTTTATGTCCAGGATGAAGAAAATAGCGAAACTTACAGATCCCGAGTATGTTAAAGCATTTCATTTGTTTGACACTGACAGGGCAAATTATGAGTTTGTTCTTGAGATCTCCTTACAACCAGAATATTTCAAAGTTCCAGGTGAACTTCATGAGAATGCTGTGATTGCATCACTTTTCATAGCAATGCTGACTGAACGCAAAGTAGTTACCCTGTTTCATTCCTGGGCTGAGATGTGTGAAGATGATGGAAAATCAGGTAAGGGTCATAATGGATCTGACTGTCCTAAGCTTGTCTTTTGTGTCACATTTAATTGGAAGAAATTGAATAATGATTCTCATGTTGTCTAGGAGACATTTTGTCAAGAGTCATATCAGTAGCTCATTAGCATGGGTAAAATTAACAATTGGAAGAATATTTCCACTCCTAAAAGTGGAATTAAGTATTTCAGCTTTAATAATAATGCAAAAATTCATAATCATGTTCTGCTGACAGATATGATTCATGTTTTAACCTGTAACTCCCAAGATCTGATGTTTAATTCTCCCCTTTAGCTGCTAAATATTTCCTTGTGAATTAGTTATGAGAACTTAGTTCTAGATCAAGATAGCAGCTTCTACCTGATAGGTTTGAATATTCCCAAGATCTGATTGTTAATTCTCCCCTCTACTTGCTAAATATTTCTTTGTAAATTGGTTATGAGAACTTGGTGCTAGATCAAGATGGCAGCTTCTACCTGATAGGTTTGAATATTCTCATTACCTGTTTCCTGAATATTGTTTGGATATTACTGGGAGAAGTTTCATGTTAATCACTTGTGAGGATCGATTAAAGGGTTTACCTTTTACACCCTAACATCAGTATGTATATTCTTCATACTGTTCTTTTAAAATTTTCTAAGGTCCTGAGGAGGAGAATTTTTTACAATCAAGAACTTCTTTAGCCAGGGAAACACAAGTGTGATGCTTTAGGGGAAAATTAGATGTTAGTCACTCATAGGGAAAAATGAGTTAATTCATTTGTTGCACTTAAAATGCAGCTGTTGAAAAGAAGAGTTGCCATGACAATTGGTTCCATTGGGCTAGATACATACAAACATATAATTTGCTTGAAAGCATAGACCCTTTAACTCCCAAGATCTTATTAGTAATTCTCATTACTGTCTGCTATATAATTCTTGTGATGTTATAGTTCAGAGAATTTGGCACTGGATCAACTAATAATCCCCTAATTGATATAGTTCTTTATTCTCATTGCTTGTCTCCTTGATATTGTATTGATATTGTGAGGAGAAATTCTCTTTGTCACTCATGGTAGTTAATGGGTTGCGTTAAAGCCTAGTCCTTCCTTTTTCCAGTACATCCTGTTAATACCTCATAACGAAATAAAATAATTTATTGATTCAATGTTTCAAAAACTCAAAAAAAGTAGAGTTGTGATGACAATTGGTCCTGTCATGTTAGATATTTGTTATCTGCTTTAAAGCATCAAGTTAAAGACTAGTCCATCCTTTAGCTAGTAAATCCTGTTACCTCATAACTATAAACCAAATAATTTAGATTCAATGTTCAAAAAATAAAAAAATAATAAAACTCATAGTAACTTAAAATGTTTATCCTTCTGAGAGAGCTGACACTAAAAGTAAAATTTTTTTTAATTATATTTCTTGAACAACTTAAATGTGAATGTAATGCATCTTGCAGTGTCAGAGATTGGAATGAATGGGTAGATTTTGTGTTTCTAAGTTGCTGAAGTTGTAAAGACTTGAATAGTACACTCATCTGCCCCATTTGAGTTAAAAGTTAAAACTTCTGACTACCATTTAAATTAAGCATTCATTGTGGTACTATGTGCTTATCGGAAGTGGAATGTTTTTATTCCAGAGTTATAAAATTTATTTTAAAATTTTGGTTACAATTCATCTATTTTAGTGCTTATAAAACTTCAAGCTTATAACCAGTACCATAGCTGTTAACACATGAAAGACAGGAGGCAGCACCGAGGTGAAGTGGTCAAACTGGTGGACTTAATGTAAAGTGATGGTATCAGATTAAAGTATGATATCTGCTACTTACCAGATTTGTTATTGAAATCTGTTCTAAAAGGGCAACCAGATTACTTCTCACCAGCTGGGAATTCATACCACTTTATGTTCATTTGGTATTCCTTTTGTAACAATGATTTTTTTTTCTCTTTTTTTACTTTCTATTGTTTTTCTAATTCCAATATTATGGTCATTAGTGTCAGAACATTTATAATATGTTAATTATCCGAACTATTTACAGCACTATGTATAGTTTAGACAGAGATAGCATGCTGCCAATGACAAAATTATTTGTTTAGAATTAGAAGTATCTAAGATGCAATTTGACTCATAAAGCAAAGGCAAACACAAGAAACAAACAAAAAAAGTAAATGATACATTTACCCTTTAACTCTCAGTAATGATAAACATGTAACTTCTCCCCATAATATCAATACATGTTCAAGCATACAGGTAATAAGACTACAAAAACTTATCAGATAAAAGTTATCTTGTCAGCTAACAACAAATTCTCATGACTAATTTGGAAGGAGATGTTTATATTAGTACCTAAAGGAGATAATTAACAATCAAAACTTGGGAGTTAAAGTTGGTTAACAAACAAATTACAAGTAATAACCATGATTTAGAGACTTACTTTACTCTGTGATCGGTCCAGAAATCTTGCAGCTGCACAAGTTTCTTGCACCTGCACTTTCTAAACCAATCAGGTGCAAAAGTTAAACCAATCACAACTTGGTTGCTTGCATTATTCCGCACTTTAGGTGTTTGGTTGGTTTTAGTTTAGTTGGCTTTTAAAGGTGTTTGCCTTTCTCCTAACTGGCCATGGTAATTACCTTGGTTTTGGGTTTAAAACATTCAATTGAAAAATGCTCTAATCATTAAGAATGAATGCAATTCTCAATAAGATTTTTATGTAATAGGTTCTCTTGGTAGAACACAGCTTAAGTGCTGGGAAGCCTTGCAAGTTGCAGACATTCATGGAACAGAGAAAGGATTTGAAGTACTGAGGGAAGCTTTGGCTTCAATGGAGAAAGTCAAAGATCAATCCACTGACACTTTCAAGCTCACTAAAGCCCTTTACTTGCACACTCAAGGTGAGATCCTTTGGAGAAACATTGATTACAAGAAAGCTCTTGAAAGCTTGCAGTTGTCCTTGACATTCTCAGAGGAGCTGCTAAAAGAGCATACAGATTTGGCAAGGTGCTACAATACTGTTGGAAATTGTTACTCCCGCCTTAACCAGCCACTGGAAGCACTTGAGTTCTATGAAAAAGCCTATGACATGCAAAAGAAATTGGCTGGCTCTGAGTATCACGTTGATATGCCAATGTACAAGCACCAAATTGGCACAGCATATGAGGGTCTCCAAAAGTATGACATGGCAATTGAATATTACAGAGATGCATTGAGACTTCTGGAAGAACTCAATCTTTCGGATTTAGGGGATGAAGCACACTTTTGCAGAGAAATTGCCAATGCCCTTCTGTGGCAGGGGAAATATTCAGAAGCAGCTGAACCTGCAAGGCGTGCTTACAACATTAGGAAGAAACTTCTCAAAAATCACCCACGTACGGTTCACAGCATTTTCCAACGAGCTATCCTTCAGCACTGCTTGCGAGATTATGAGGGAGCCTTGAAACTTTACCTTGAAGCATGGGAGATGGAGAAGTCACTTGATGTTGGGAACCACAGTGAGGTGTGGCAAAAAATTATCACTGGTGTGGAGGACATGTGTGACTTTTTGAAGAATGGAGAAAAGAAACAAACATTTAGAAAAGATGCTTTGAAGTTTTGTAAACAGTTTTGGATAGAAAAGAAAAAGTCTCCACGATTTGCTTTTATTGATTCTAACCAGGACATTATTGATACCTTGATGGATATTGTCAGTGATGAGAATGACAAGAATGAATTGCAAAAAGAACAGCTTTGGTTCTATGAGGGTATGTACAATGCCACCAAGGAAGAACTTCAAAAGGACTGTGACCTGGAAACTGAAAGTGATACACTTCACTACATGTTGGAAGAAATGACCAAGCTTCTCAACCAAATGATACACCTTTGTCATCAACTTAAGGATTACAAACGGGAGGAACTATACACAAATGAATTACAGGTGTGATGGTTTTAACTTACATTGTTTCTTTATGAACTACCATACTAATTACAAGTTTATTTTTACAGTAAATTTGATCCATCTCCTATCACAAAAATTACCTGCATGCTCTACTAAAAGTGTCTTCCGTAGTCACTTGTAGTCTGCAACAAAAAGCTTTATTGCCAATTTATCAAGTGGTAACAACAACAGCTTGTTATAAGCTCCCCTTACATGTATGTACAAATACTAAACATTGTATAACATTTCATATGATTTTATTATATCCTCTCTTTAAATCAGCTTGCATTCAATTTGTTAACTAAGTGCATGACTAATGGTATACATAACATGGTAAACAGTAGAACATTACAGAATTTTCTCAATCATATTCTACATTATCTACACTGACACAGTATTAATACATTAACCTTTTAACTCCTATGAGTGACCAAGACAGAATTTTACCTTACAATATCTGTACAATATCAAGGAGACAAGTGATGAGAAAAGAGAAAAATATTGATTAGGGGATTATTAGTTGATCCAATACCAAATTCTCCAAATTAACATCACAAGAGCCAAATGGCAGACAGTAAGGAGAATTATGAATGAGATCTTGGGAGTTAAAGGGTTAACCTTTCTTCATGACGAAGTAGGAAAACCACAAAGTAACTTAGTTTTAGATCAGTTACAATGTGATAACCAAAGACTTTTCGGTAACATCAATTTCAGTGCTTTAATATAAAAATAGCATCAGCATGGGTAATTTAAGCACCACATGAAGTCAAGTTCATTACAAAAAATTACTGGTTAATTAACTGATAATTGATTGCATTCACACCCACTATAAACCTCTTATAAAAAATTATAATTGTATGAACACTTCTTTAAAAAAAAAACACTTGAACCTATTTTTCATGATTTGATTTTCTTTGTCCACAAATATTTGTTAGGGTCCCATCATTTGTGATTGGATATGTAGAATTCACTGGCCCTCCTATCTTTGCAGTGTCAATATCATCATTCTTGTTCATGTAGTTATACTACTATAATCATGGTTATTGAACTGAGTGGAGTGTAATTTGGTCTGAAACCATACAAAATTGAATGAGTGCACAGCACAAGTTTGATTCAATTTTGGAATCAAAAGTAGGATTTCAGAACAAAATTCTACAACACACAGTTTAAATACCACTTTATTACATCATTTTGAAATTGCAAAATTCAAGCCCTCAGACTTGTAGTCTGTGCTGATTTGTAAAAAGTTGTTGTCACTCATTTTTCTGCAATCTGATTGACCTTTTTTTAATTCAAGCCTTGAAACTTGGTTGGTTAATGTGTTTTAGTAAAGCTGTCTCACTGGCTGAGAAAAAGTTGCGATTTAGAGATCACAAGTGATTTAAGAATGGATGTAATAAATATGTATATCCTATTCATTTTGTTCTATATTGTTATATAAACAGTAGCCTCTACTCTGACTGAAAATATGCAAGGATACTTGTCTGCAGACATTACCTGTTCTGGTATGTAAACAGTTCTGAAAGAGTGAAGCTTGAGGAAAACTGTGAGCTCTGAGGAACGATGATGTCCAAGGACAAATATACAAGTATATTTTCATGCCAAATGGAGGCTATCATCTTTATTACTCTTCAGATATTTTTGCAATGTGTGGATAAAATTTTTGCAAACAATTTACTGTTTGCTGTGTGGGATGTTTAATTTTCAATGTTCTAAGGTATGACTTGGTAAACAAACAAACATATCCCTTCTCTCATCTCCAATCAAATTTTAAACAAATCCTTGTGATACAATTAAGCCAATTGTGTGCAGGCAGAAACATTTGATGGATTTCATTGCCTGACACAACACTAACCACAAAAGTTACATACTTTGTGTTTATACCATACTTTGCATTTTTCAGGCTGTAAGAGATGGGAGAGTTCCAGAGGTGACATCACACTCAAAAGGTACTAAACCTTACAATTGTTTGACATATTTCAGTAGCATGCTTTTAAACAATATGTAAAGGTGCATTAATTGTTTCTAGATCTAAATCTTTTGTTGCTAGAATACTAGTATACAATCCAAATTGAAGACATGTAGAGCTAAAGAGGATTTCATAACTACATGTGTATACAGATCACAATAGATGATCAAAAGGGTTGAACCGCGGCTACTTTTCGCTTAACTTTTGTCAAAAAATTTTGAAAGTTTCAAAAAAATACTATTCTTGCATTATTACTTGTGTAAAAATTCTATCCACACTTTTAGTGAAATGACCAATTCATCTCTCCAGCCGATGGAGTTTTCCGCACGGCTTCTCGTTTCAAAAATTAGAGACTTTCATTTCGCAAATTACAGATTCCTCATGTAAAAAATTACAGATTTTCATTTCAAAGATTTCCGAATTTTTCAAAATTATTAGCAGATTTCCAATCTGCTTCGTTTCGTTTCGTTTCGCAAGTTACACTAAGCCCAATGCAACACTTAAACGTAACGAAACAAAACAAATAGTTCTAATCATAATTTTAAGAGATGACTGTGTTCATGTGATAATTAATCATAACACTTATTGGACAGGAGTAATACAAATGACTGCAGTCTGGTACCAGGTCTCGAAGCCATGTCTTATTCGGCCAAGCTTTAGCTTTCATTTTGAAGGTCGTCTGTTTATGTTTTAGGATGATTTGTTTCATTCGAGCCCACATGTTAAATGTTTTTCACTGGTATGCTTAGTCCTAGATTTCATACATACATTCCGTAGTACATGTTTGGCCCGAAATTAGCAGTCATCCCCTCTAAAGTCCTCCGCTACTAATCCTCACACTTGTCAAGCTGTCCGCCATTTTTAATAAAATGGTTACTCTCCCCAGACTCCTCAGCGGCATCAGTAGTCGTTACCACGCTTCGCGCAGTAAATAGGTGTTGATTCAACTTTTTTGGCAAAAAATCAGAATTGTAATTCAGTGAAACCGATGACTTTAGAGTAAGATAACAAACAAAAGTGGTTGGGTTAAAATACCACATTTCATGTCTTCTGAGATCTCAGTTATTTCTAAAAACTTCTGATTAAGTATTAAGGGTTTCGATTATATTTATAGCAAGGGACTTTCTTTCACAAATTTTCAAAAAGGTCTTATTTACAATCGGAACGAAAACCAAACCAGAGTGCCTTCAATCAACATAGCTTCAGTGAAACCGATGACTTTAGAGTAAGATAACAAACAAAAGTGGTTGGGTTAAAATACCACATTTCATGTCTTCTGAGATCTCAGTTATTTCTAAAAACTTCTGATTAAGTATTAAGGGTTTCGATTATATTTATAGCAAGGGACTTTCTTTCACAAATTTTCAAAAAGGTCTTATTTACAATCGGAACGAAAACCAAACCAGAGTGCCTTCAATCAACATAGCTTCATACATTCAATATGCAATTTGGAGTTTATGATCTTTTCGTGTAGCATGCGCGCTGTAAGCTTATATTTTAAAAGTCTTTGCTATATCTAAGCATTGAAGAGCTTGCTATTGATTTTAATGATTTTGTAAGCTCCTATTGAAACAGAGGCAATAAAAACAGTTTAGATAAAAGGGAAAGATGAACGGCATATCGGGGTTACTACCACAGAGTTTGCGTTTTCCGCGTTGAAAATGAAGTACCCTTCAAGATAAACGCATTGCGTAAGGCGCGTTTTCTTTGCCACGATTTCTCTTAATTTTCCTTCATATTTTCTGCTCATCTATTCAATTGTTCAGTTGGTAACATTGTTGTCCTTGCGGATTGTAAATTTCTTTCAGGCGCCTTGATTGGTCTCTCGCGCTTTTTGAGGGTTGTATTGAGAATCATTTACTTGATCACAAAATCGATCATAAATTCATTCTTTTCGCAGTTAAACCTTGCTGATAGTTACTTCATAAAAGTAGCAATATAACACATTTTTTTGCGTTGTATAACATGATAAACCCACTTGGAAGATATTGGAAGAACATTTTAGAGGCTTAGCCCGCGTCAGAGTAAATCGCTCTGACAGAGGCTAATGCCAGCTTTAGAATCCCCCTACGGTGGCCACTTTACATTATCAGTTCAGTTGATGACAGCAAAATATCCTATGTTCAATCATCTCATCAGTTACCTTGGTTACTGAACGACTCATTACAAATCTGTCCTGGATTGGGAAAGAACATGCCTTTTTTTGTTCTAATCAAATAGCTCCAGAAGAAGAGAAGTCACTTGAGGTGGAAGAATTTTCCTCCAGATCAACTGATCAAGACGGTCGCCAGAAGGAGGAGACTGCACGAAAATTGGATGAAAGAAAGACTGTCATCAAGAGGTGCAGTTCATTTGCATGTTATCCACGTTAGTAGAATTTTATATACATAAAAAATGAATAAGTTATACAATTATCCCTAAGGGTGGCTACTATGCAATTTCTCCTCACAACATCACCCCTGAATCAAACTTTAAGGTCAGGAAAATAAATAAAATGATCACCCTCCAATGCAGGTCTAGATTGTCAAAAGACTTCTCCTCGTCAGCAACTTAAGAAATGTTTTCAGAATAGTTTTGAGAAAATTCAAACTGTATGATGTCAGGGTGTAAAGGGTTAACATGATTTGCGAATATTTGCATGCGATGCACATTAGCGACATAACAATCATATTAAGCTGAGCTTAATAAAAGAAAAACTTTCCCTGAGTAGAATGAACCATGATGGTCACATGCACTATTGAGAATTTCGGGATTAAGAAAATAGTGGCTATTTTGAATGCTGTTCGTAAAATTTTAAATAGAATCTTATTGATTCTCTTACTTGATGAGATAGCTTAGATACAATTTGCACCACAGTTACTCAAAAACCTACAATTTATTCCATAAAAGTAAGTCCACACTTTTAGAAGAATCGTTACTTCACTGAATTAGGTACTCTCAATTCGCGACATTCGGAAGCGTTGTATTAGCTATAGTCCGGTGATCTAAAGCGTTTTTAAGTTCTTCCCCAATATCCGTCCCACGTTATTTATACAACGATAGACCTATAGAAAGAGTAGTCTTAGGTTGCTTATAACTTATTCTTTAACTGCAGTATTTTTATAGCTTAGCATTCCTGCAGAGGGCTAATAACTGTTCAAAAAAAGCCGATTCTGTCGCATATTCACCCGCAAAAAAGGTACAAAAGACGCCGTTTTGGCCTTGCTCAACGAAGTAGACTGCATCTTCGTGATTTGGTTATTTGATAGTGACATCACATCCGGAATGTCAACCCTCGAGCTTAAAATATCAAAATGTTACTTTATGCATAAGCCTTTCGTCGATGGAGTAAGATACAGACAACCAATTAATAAAGATAGCCCATCACTGAAGTTGATGAGACCGAGTTTAAAGAGCTGCAAAACCGTCTTGAAAGAGAAACTCACTTTACATTCAAGACGAAACATCATAGCGTTTTCACTCAAACAAAGGCTTGATAAATGTAATTTTGTGATTATTTCAGAGGTAAAATTGCAGACGAGTCAGAGTCTTGGAATCTTGCAGAAGCTGGTGCATTCATCACATTTAACCTTGGAGCGATAACAAAATCCTTGACCATAACATGTTCATTATGGACCCCCGCAGCCCTTTCTCCGCCCATTGGTAGTAATGAGCTCTTGGTAAGCAATGTGATTGAACTGTCTCATGATGGCCCACCTGATCTGGAGTTCATGGAAAATGCTTCGGGAAGCATAAATGTGGCTTTGTTTCACAGTGCCTCTAACTTCAAAGGATACGAGGTGGTTATCAAGCAGTTGGTTGACCCCCAATACAACGAGTGGGAGGATTTGGAGACAAAAAACGTTTGGCATTCGTCAGGTACTGAAATAATAAATTTTACCGATGAGATCCGTACACAAGTATCATTCCATAGACTTCTTGCTAATTTCTCAATTCCTAGTTAGGGTCATTTAAGGGAGATGAGGAGCCGGCTTAGTGGTTCGTGCACTTAACTCCAGATCGACATTTATAGTTTCAAGGTGGTGTGTTCTTGGGCAAAACTGAGAATGGATTAGAATGGTAACATGGAGATTCTCCCATACAGACCTCCAGCTTGGTTAATAGGGACTAACTAATAATTAAAACGAATTACACCTACAGGAAAGTTATTAACAGTATCTTTATCTCAGACTTCCCGCTCTGTGACAAAGATTGAAGTAATAGCCATAACCAAAAATATCTATTGTAGCATTACTAATAATGTTATTATGTTACAGTAAATTCAACCGTTCCCAATTGGACGTGCCCTTTCGCTGAAGCTGCTTGCTCAAAAACGTGGTTTTCCACGTTTGCAGTAGTCTGGCGCCTCAAGTCTTTTGTCTTTCCTAATCTTACGTCTGAGACCTCTGAGTTTATCTGTTCACTGCCAGACTATCCAAATGTTAGTGTTGCAATTCCATGGAGTTCTTTGCCTACCGATAGAGACTTTTTTTTAACTCTTAAGGTATTTATACCCGATGTTGCATTTGTAAGAAATAATTAAGATGATGATGATAATAATAATAAAATCTATTTTCATCTTTATTGTTATCATTAATATCATTAATACAATATCTATCATTTATTTCATAAGACTTTATTAGTGATGAGAAAAAAAAAAAACTTATTGCCAAGGGGGTGTTAAATTGATACAAGCTCAAATGCTTTGATCTAAATTACGGTCGATAACGGATTTTATGAAAAATAACATGTTAGTATGTTCAGAGTGCATAGATAGTGCTGAGAAAAGAATGTTTAATCAAATCTATTTAATGGCCCTATTTTATTTGGGAAACTATTGGTAGCTAACAAGAGTACCTTGGGTTAACATAAATTTCTGATGTGATTGTGTTAGCTCTTAATTTGAGGTGCAAGAGGCGCCAACCATTGACCACGATGTAGGTGGAATGTTTGTTGGTCCGATTCTTCACATTTCATGCTCACACGATGTGAAGCTGTCAGTGCCAGCAAAAATCAGCGTCCCGCTGGTACTCACGGACGGTGAAATAGAGCCAGTGGAGCTGCGTTCAGGTCAGTTGAAGATACTACATTTCACGTCAACAGAGAAATCACAAGAATGGACTGATATCACAGATCATTTGGATATGCCTGTAGTCCTAAGAAATGGAATAGTGACGTTTCAAGTCAAAACTTTCTGCCGGTAAGATAAAGACGTAGAGCTGTTTACATTTTTTTTTACATTTCTTGAAGTAAACCATTAGTTTTAGAAACGCGATGTCCGCTTTGTAACTGTTATGAAACTCCAAATTTTGTCAGTTCTTATGCTATGGGTTTGAATGTGATAATGAGTGCAAAAGAGCACTGAAAATTAACATCGATCGATTAATCAATGTACTCAAAGTACATCATACGCCTGGTTTTTGAGATATTTTGATTCCACTGGCGAGTGACTTAAAAAATAGGAAGCATCCAATAAAAATTCTAAGGAAGTTGAATAACAAAGATGCTTGACGTCAATTTTATCGCAACAACTGCTCCTCATATGTACCAAGGTGAGGTATACCTACTTGTGAGTAAAAGAACCATCCCCCCCTCTGCCCTCGTCCTCCACCCCCTCCTTCTCCTTCTCCTTTCTCCCTTGAGCTTCTCTAAGTTATTAAAGCTGGCTTTAAAATTAAAAGTTCTCACTGAAAAAAGTTTCTTCTCAAGAGGCCAACACGCTTTCTAATAAGTGTAGATGCGTCTTAAAACGTGTATTTTTTGGTTCATGACGTGTAGAGTTTTCTGCCATTCTCTTTCAGGTTTTGGCCCTGGTTGGTGAAGACGTCCGCTATCATTCCACGGAAATATGCCTCGCTCCTATACGAGAGAATCATGAAACGACACGCTGGGTTTTTAGCTTGCTTATGCAAGTATACAGTACCCTCGACATACTTGCTGGAGTTGTTTTGTTTCCCGCAGCATTTAAGATCTGGAGTGGATAACTATATATCCTCAAGATATTTTGTGACTTTGCGTAGAGAAGAAACCTCGCAGAAACCTCTGTCGAGCGGCGATGAGACATATGTTTCTCTTTCAAATGGATTTGAAGTGCATGGGGCGGGAAATGCAAAGGACATCGTCTTAAAGTAAGGACCAGCCCTGTTACGTTTTATCGGTCCATCATCATCATCCGCTCATTTGTAAAATAACGTGAAAAGACATTGTGCTTCTGCCTCTCAGGCATGCTACATTGACCAATAGTAATAATGAAATGGTACAGTAAGCGCAAATAATTGGAATCTTCTCCTCTTAATCAAAAAACCTAGAGATTCATCTGTGACTAAACAGTGACTAAAAGAAGGGTTGAGAAAGCGGCAATGGCCCTCGATCTTAAGATCACAAGTCTGTTACACATTCAAATTATCCATTCTAACTTCTTACCTTAATAAAGCTCAGACCCTTAGAGAAATTTAAACTTTAGTACTGTAAAGTTGAATAGGTTCCTTAAGTATGTGATTCCTTCATTAAGTTCGACCGAGAAGAAACCCAAAATAACTTGACGGGTGTTTTTGCCGCTAGCAAAGATGCATATTTAAGTGATTTGCTAAATTCGCTCTTCCGGAAATCTAAGAAAAAAGTTTTATTCATCTAAACTTTTGTTCCCTTTTTTATACGAGGTTTTTTGGTGACAGACGTCATCAGCGAAGTCTGCTAGTTAGCATTAAAGACCCGAGTGATCTGCGAGTCCACTTTCTACAGGGCAGGGAGAGAGAGAATTCCCCAATGAAATGTCAAGAGCCCATCATTCCAAGATCTCCAGGACAGGTATTTACAATACTGCTGTTTAAATGCATAAATCTGCCTTTTCATTCATTTAAAAATATTATGTGGATGAGTAAAATTGTACTTATGTCGTAAATTGCTACGCTCAAACGAGGTTCGTTGTTTTGACCCAAAATCACCAGAACTCAACCAAACAGTGTGTTTATAGTGAAATATCCAATATTTTATTGAAGTATAAGGACGATTATAATGTAAGGTAAAGTCAAAGAGTTATACTTGTAGCTTTTTGTCTAGGCTTTCCTCGACATACATATATTTGGCAGTTATCATCTCCCAACTGCCTTGCAACTCCGGCAGTTTTTCCACAAATAAATTTAAGCTGTTCCGAATATTGGATGTTAGTCATAATACTCCGCTGAAACATACGTTTTGAAGGCCGCAGTCTTCCGAGATGAAACTTAGGGTGTACCTGGCGGTATCCTTGTGAAAAACATGTGGCTGCGCCCATATATTTTCCAGAGACACTAATTTGGCGGCAGTGATCCATTGATATAAATATGTTTACCCTTCCTGTAAACATTGTTGCTTGCTAATGTTTCCTATACGCTTGATATGAAATTTAACATGGCTGGGATAAGCTTTGCTGTATTTATTTTGCCAAAAAAAAAAAGAATCAACAAATACTCAAGAAAATAAAGAGGCCACACTAGGATCCGGCCTTCCGATCCTTTGATGAAGTTTTATTTAAATACCAGTAGTAATCTCAGGGATGATCATCTTACGAAGTAAGAGTCATGTCGAAAAAAGTAAGAGTTTGCATGGGAATAATTAGGACCACTCTCAGGAATAAAAAAAGGAGAAGTAAACTTAGATATGGATAACTCGCTAAAACGGCCTAGTTGAAACATACGGTTTAATCTAGCCGACAGAAAAACACTACAATCTTACAAACTCTACTACTTTATTAAACAGTGAGTAATATTCTTAGCAAGGAGCGACTCCCAAAAGCAGTACATTACTTATCGTTAATCAGCTTAATTAAGCTCACACAGTTTATATCCTAGCTCACCACTGACGTAATCTCACTGCTGTCTCCAAAGCTTTCAAAACAGTAGTCGCTCCGACAACAACAACTACTACTACCACTACATAAGCGAGTCTTCACATATATTCACAAAGTGTTCTGGAACATTCCAGAAGCTTACTTAAGAACTATTTTAGTCGTATTACGTAATAAATACGTGAGTTGATGAAATTTTCTGGAAAGTTCTACGGTATGCAAGTCAGCATGACTCAGCAGTCTGGAAATTTCTAGCAGCAACAACAATTATCCATAACACAATGCACTGTGAAAGTAAAGTGAAGTATTTTTATTGAGAATTTGACTGTATTTTTTTTATTCCTTATGGAGGTTGTTAATATTCTTATACAAATTGTTACATTTTCGGCGTGACTCTTGTAGCCGGCATGCAGACGTAATTTTGGCGAGCGAGTGCTCGGTATTTTCTTGAAGAAAATTATGGCCGCCACCCTTGATTTCAATGGCAGCAGAACGCTGAGGAGAGAAAGAAATTTGTACCAAAGGGGCGGTCGACGGTCAAAAATAAGGAAGCGAAGATAACGCTTGCCCAAAGTCATTGAACGGAGTTCCTGATTAGTGCGGTTAAGCTCTAGTTGTCAATCACAAGCCAAATGTGTCATTTGAGCGTCATTCTAACATTTCGTTCTTGCGAGAGAAAGATCGAGAAAGAGAAAGAAAGCGAACTCTGATTGTGAATTAATTAGTTTCGATTCCGCTCTTGAGGAAGCACTACTTTCTCGAAAACATGGTCTTCCTCATTTGCAGCAGTCTGGCGCCTCAAGTCTTTTGTCTTTCCTAAGCTTACGTCTGAGACCTCTGAGTTTATCTGTTCACTGCCAGACTATCCGAATGTTAGTGTTGTGATTCCATGGAATTCTTTTCCTACCGATAGAGACTTTTCTTTAATTCCAAAGGTATTTGTGCCCGATGTTGCATTTGTAAGAAATAATTGAGGTGATGATGATCATGATAATGAAATTTATTGTCATCATTATTGTTTTCATTAATATCAATAATACAATATCTATCATTCATTTCATAAGACTATAGTAGTGATTAGTTTTTGATTTGGTGTATTACTTTTATATTTTTGAAGTTACTATCTATGCCTCTGCTTTTTACTTATTTGTCATTTTTCTCATTATTTAGTCATTTTATTTATTTCCTCGTTTCTATTCACTCCATACGCATTCGTAATATTGCAAATTTTCCCTCCTCCATCTAGGTTCCTGTTCCTGTCACCTCTGACTTTGAAGAAGGAAGTGGTCAGTTGTTGTTTTTATTGTTAGTTTTGATGTTCGAATAAATGCAATTTACCAGACCAGTCATCATTGTTCTAAAATACGCAAGCTCCATGGGTTTGAAACTGTAGCATTTAGTGACAAAGCAACGTGTTCTCAACGCAAAGTCATTATATCCTGCCTTACATATGTTAATAAATCGGGGCATGCCTCCCCCACGCCCAACAGTGATGGCTTATTGTCTCTGGAACGTAGCAGTAAACTCGATCCAGACCTTCACGGTACGTGCGTCCTTCCTTGTCAGGAGTTTGATGCAGGAATCGAGTAAAGCGCAAAACAGCTTGGGAAAGACCCAAAGAAGTGTAATTCTCTAGAAAATTATTCCGTTGGTTAGATCGAAAAAAATAACGGAGTAACTCTAACAATGAAAAGTCCTATGCACCCTTCTGTTGCTTTTCATATAAAATCTAGGATCGAATATGTTTATTTATAAAAGCTGCCTTCGCCAAATTTGTCAACGCTGCTCCTTGCTAAGTACAAGAGAAATCATTAAAACGTAATGCACTTTAAGTTGTGAAGGCTGGGTCTTACTTGCAATAGTTCTCAACCTAGCCATATCATGAATCCCATTATTTTGCAGGTATTTCCGCCCAAAGGGTGAAACATTCAATTGTAAAGCATCCAAATTCAGAATCATCGTCATGCAGTTCTGTTGCAGCTCCTAGGAAGAGGAAGAGGAAACGCCACTCTGCAGGTAGTACCGAGGTTGAAAATATTTCGAAGGATTTTCCTTTTTATTGCATTTTTTTTTCAAGTTTGCATATTGCTGTTACACGTTTATGTATGGTAAATTTGTTTATGCAGTAGGACTGGCATTCTATTTATCAGATATCCTTTACACTTAGTTATAACGTGAAAAGAATAAAAAATACTGAATTAAAACTGGTCGCCAGTACTAATTAATCACCCTTGTATCTTAAACAACTATCACCTAACCAACATTGGCGGCTGGAGACTGGCTAGAAGACGTTATTAATTACCTCCATTTTCAAGATGTTTGTCGGGCCATACACGAATGAAGAGGTCAGAAATGGATAATGAGTCTGGAAAACTCTCCAAGCGTTTCTTTGTTTTTATGGGTTGGGAAAGTGGTTCCCCTGCTGCTGCAAATGTCTCCTCGGCCAAGCCTGACAGTCTTTAAGGCCAACGATTCGGTATTGAATGATACCAAAAGGGAAGTCGCCTTTCGCCAAAACTGTTCGCTATTCGCCAAAGTCTTGAAGCACCCTTTTTCTAATTTTTCATTCTGCTTTCATTATCATCTTCAGATTTGGTTAAGGCTGATGGACCATCAGATGACGTGTTAGAAGATCTGGCTCTGGAACTTGGAGGAAAATGGGAGAAATTAGGGAGACGCCTGGGATTCAACCAAACTACAATAGAAAACTTTGATTCAGCCAAAAGGGAGCTGGAAGATAAGGCTTTTAAAATGTTAATGGCTTGGAAACAAAAGGAAGGCTCAAATGCCACATATAAAGTTTTGTACGATGCCTTGTGTAACAAAAAGGTGCAATGCAAACTTCTTGCAGAAACGTTTTGTTGCGATGAGATTGAGTACTCCATGGCCAAAGAGCGTCTGTATGAAGGATTCGCGCTTAGTGAGCGCGTCATTTCCCTTTGCGCTTGAAGATGGGAAAAATTCTCTTCAGAGAATAGACATTTAATCGTATTTTTGCACTCAAGAACCGCTGGCTAAAGAACATCGAGGTCGGTATTCACTGAGATGTCCAGAACGACAGAGCTGAATAACGTTTGCGTATGCGCTAGGCTTTGGCGCGGAAAACAGATTTTGAGTTGTGTGCACGTTCGATTTTCTATGCTATATCTTCAGGGCGTTGTTTCCTTGCTGCTTTTCTTCTACAGAACAACTTCCAAAAACCTTGTACACACTCTCAATATTTTAAAAACTTAAATTTCTTCTTAAAAACACTGGAGACAGGAAAATGACTTCAACGAAAACAAAATGCATTTGTTTTATGTGCTAG